TATATTTTTATTTTTATTTAATTTTTATTTTTAATTTTTTTTTTATTTATATTTTTATTATTTTTATTTTTATTTAGTTTTTATTTTTAATTTATTATTTATATTTTTTTTATATTTATGTTTTTATTTAATTTTTATTTTTTTATTTTTATTTAATTTTTATTTTTATTTAGTTTTTATTTTATTATTTTAATTTTTTTTCTAGTTTCTAAAAACATTTTTCATCTCTAGTTTGGCACAAAATTTGCCCAGACAAGCACTAAATCCATGTCATGTCGTAATTTCCTAAAAATACAAATATGCACACACATACACATGCATCAGTAGGAAACATTGGCGTGTTACATAAAAATGTCGTCGCCGGAACATTTGTTCATTAATATTTTTATTTAAAATTTTCAATTACTCGAAAGCGTCTACTAAAATTTGAATGTTCGAGAATTGAGAAAACCGGCTGACAAATTTACATTCGCGCAAAAACAATTTCGCTAACAACAAATGCATAAATAACAAAAAAAAAAAAAACAAGATGCGGCGTGAAATAGAAACAAAAGCAGAAGACATCAAAGAACAACACAATTAACCTATTGAAAGACTAAAATCACAAAATGTGCGATTTGTGAAAATTTCCAGCAACAAAAACAATGAACTGGTTAAATGCGGGAAAATGCCGAAAATTATTACAGACCCCGTTTAGTTGGCACAATTTCAAAGAATATTCGCACGTTCTCATGCATACAACGCACACATACATACAATACATAAAAGTGTGTGTGTGTGTGTGTTTCTACACAATTGTTTGCAAAATAATGTCAGAAATCTTTAAAATTTACTAGAAAATGGGTTGGACATTGATGACATATCGGTAATCGTGTTTGGTGTATGCATATGTGTGTGTGTGTGTGTATTCAGCTGCATATTGGTTGAAACGAGCATTCAACCTTGAAAGATTTATATACGCACTCACATACATATATTTTGCACTACCAACCGCTGCGTTGACAGCTGCTTTTGTACTTGGAATGTTTAATTGAGAAATTGTCATTGCAACACATGTGGAAAATTCGAGTCCAGCGGTAACGGGGGTGGTTTCCGCAGACTCTGCTACATATAAACTATTGATGAGCAAAAGTCGCTGCTGTCCACGCCTAATTCTAATTTATAATTTTATATTTACATATAAGTATATATAGCTATGCAATGAAGTCGTTAGAAGTTGGGATCTTTCTTCGGACTACCATTACAGTAGGTTACTGACTTTTCTATCTGCGTACGGCTCGTCCGCAAGGAAGTATATAGGTCTCCTTCGGAGACTTTAACCCCCTCCAGTCGCACGACGTAAAAGTAGGGGATGATGTCGTGAAATCAAATGACGGTTATTCGCAGAAAAGGTTTTGATTAGTTTTGGGAGTAAAAATTTTCGAATCAAAACTTCTATGAAAGCGTTATTTATTCAAGTATAAGACTAAGTCGTGATTTAAGCGACTTCGTGCCGAGCAACAAGCCGTCTAGGACCAATGAGAAAAAAAGATCTTAAAAAACGCACCACACCAAAGAAACCGTCATTCTTCGAATTTCTTGATGACCTTAACAGGATCCGCTTCAACTCTGGTGCGTAAAACCGATTTTCGTGAGAGTTGGCACATTTAAGTTCTGGATATCAACTTAATTCCTGTGTATCTATTCTTAACCCTGACATAGCCAGCGTATGTTTTACTTACAATGAAACCTCGTAATTAACCACTTCGCTGTATGTCCCGAAAATCAGCTTTCATTCTGGTCTGAACCCGTAGAAACAGCCCAATCTAGGACTTCCCGTTAGAAGACTAGTCTACCTTGCTTCTAAGCGGGGTTGACAAACCGCTACAAACAGCAAAAGCTTCCACTGTCATTTTTAAGAACTTTGGACACAAATAAGTTTCGCGTTGGCCCGAGATTGCTGTACTGGTATTGTGGGGAATATTGCGAAGCACACCTAAAAAGTCGCAATGATATAATGAGGTTGCGATTGTCAGGATTATGCCACCGATATGGAATAATATTCGGTTAGGAGATACAGCGCATATTATTAGGTGGGTCGGCCTGCGGAGAGGCGAGACATACCATCGAATTGTGCGTATGCCACATTGAAGGAGAAAGTTAGTCTCCTGTTCTACTCACTAATTAGACTTAGTGCAAGGGACTCTAGAGATTCTCGGTGGTGTCACAACGAAGGCCCGCAGTGACTTCCGCCAGCAGAGGAATCAGAGCTCCTTATGTGACTCTTTCATTTCATTCGTTCTCTTGGTCGTGTAGTCTAGGTAATCCATCAAAAACTAAGTCCACAAATTATAAAAAAAACATTGAAAGCTTTTTTCCGTATAAATTTTGGGACCCCTATAGTCGAGTGCTAAGCAGTCCGTGCTACCATGTGGAGGGTCAGGTGGATTGATTCCTGTCCAGACTAACACCAAATATAAAATAAGAATAAAAAGGGTCTTCATAAAAATTCGTCAGCCTATTGGAGACGGCTTTGAATAAACTGTAGGTCGCACGAAAAGATTAAAGAAGATATTTGTTACATTCATATGCCACAGACGATCTAAGTCCGAAGTTTGCCATCTTATGCCTCCGATATAAATAGATTTACAGGTGTTCCTCTATGTCTCCTACTTATACTTGCATTGGATGCAGAAGAAAACAACTTCGGGTGATCCTCATATTTTATTCGTTTCAACTGCCTAACCTCCAGGTTAGCTTACTTTTATGTCTCATATCATAGATGTTCACGCAAGGGTGTGTCAGGTTCAACTACTTTAGAGGAAAAAGAAAACGGTTTAAGTTTTGAAATTTTGAAAAGTTTAATACAACCAAGAAAAGTCAAAATTTTACGATTATTTTTATCGCCATTCAAAATCACCACAAAATCGCACCTCATATTATTGGTTTAAACGTTAGGAAATCATTTAACCATGTGTGTATATACATACTTATGTATGTATGTATGAATATATTTATGCTAAATTTACACTTTCCCGCTAAATTTTATAGCATAAACAACAATAAAAAGCGCCTTAAAAAATCATTAAAAGAAAATAAGCGAGCTCCTTGCAACCTATATATTTTTAAATATTAGATATACTCGTATTGTGTGTATATTGTTGTTGTAGTTGTTATACAAAAAAAAAATGATTCACTGTCTCTACCTTAGCTGAGATATGAACATTGTTTTCCTTGCGCTTTATCAACGAATTCTTCCGGCGACTTTTTTTTTTGTGCTAACGGTAATTACGGCTCGCCGGGGCACTACTCTTTCGCTCGCATTTCGCACTTTTTGCCTGCCGCGTGTTAACATTAGTTTTTATACCTTTCGCTTAAATGAAATAAAGGGTGGTACCTTGCGAGATTAATAAATTTTTTAAAGAAAAAACACAGATAATTCAAATTTAATGGAGAATTCTTATTGTCTTTCGAAAGATTATTCTTTGGCATTTATATTTCGAAGATTGTCGCGGCTACTTTTCAGATGGCCTATGAGACGACTCGTTCGAGCATTTCGACTGGCAACCTGGCGAAAGAGACGCTTGATGTTTTGCTCCAAAGCCTGCATCGAAGCGGGATTGTCCGCAGAGTATAAAGGTGTGTTATCACACGATTTTGGCGGCCAATCAACCGGCCCAAAACGTGAAATTATTTGCTCACCGAAGTGTTTCCCCAATAAATCCATTGATTGATGCGATGTGTGGGAACTGGCGCTGTTTTGTTGAAATTCAATGAAGTTGAGATCACGAAGCTTCAATTTCAGGCATCAAATAGTCGGGTATCTGGCGGTTACGTTCCCATCGGCAACATTTTTGAAGAAACACACCTAGCCATTGTTTTTTTTTTGGATGAAATGGCAGCTCTTAAATCTCTTCAGGTTGCGCTTCGCCCCAAATGCAGCAATTTTGCTTGCTTCAGGCTTCGGTTTTTGAAATATTTCAAACAAACTTGCTATTCGGTACATTTAAACGATCATTTGTCGGAACCGGCCAGTTGGGGCCACTATAGAACATACAAATGACTGATTTTCAGATTTCAGGTTTTCGGTTGTAAATTTGTCAAAAAATTATTTATAAGAGCGTGGAATTTGGTACTGTACACACCTATGATAAATTCCACATTTGTGCTGAAAATCATCGAAATCGGAGGACTATAACCTATAGCGCTCATACCACGGATTTGTTAAGATATGACGATTTGTTAAAAAAATCAGTAGAAAGAGCATTAAAATTGGTATTCTACACACATAAATTCAAATATTTATTGATGCTGAATATCATTGATTGTTAAATTATGGGTTCTTGAAGGGTTCAAAGACTTGGGCATTGCCTTAGGCAGCACTCCTTTCTTGTTTATATTTATTATTGCCAATATTTGTTTATATTAAAGTACATACTTTTACGATGCTTTCTTATGACTAATTAATTAGCGGGTAATGGGATAATTACGGGGACCATTTAGTGATTTTTTACGACTTTAATGTTTGACTCGTACTTGGCTAAATACTAATTTTGAAAATTATTATGCTGCCGAAATACTTTCTCTTTGAATTAAAGTCGGTTGATTAATAATTTTCTTATTTTGTTTGCTAGAAAGTGGTGAGAGAAAAAAAAACAGTTTTCAATGACTAAAACCAATTAATGAGTCAAAAAGTAACTGTAAACTCTTAAATTTTATACTTTTCTTCTTTACAATTTGAATGGTAATTCCAATAATTACCGTCGTAATTCAAGCGAAAATCCGCCGCTTCTGCTGAGTTGAACCGTTGAATCATTGTTTTTGTAGCGCACAAAGCATATTTTTTGTTTGCGTTTGCTTTTGATAAGAAAAATATTAAGAATTGCAATTTAATTAGGTCACTCATACGCAGATTTATACATACCTACATATGTACATATGTATGTTTGCAAAATTTAAGAATTATTTCACTTTTGTTTCATAAATTTTTTCATTGATTTAATTTCAATTTCTGCTTACAGCGCCCAAACATTGGAGCGTGAGATGCGTGATCCCCACAGTATTTGCAATATCGATTGCCTGCTCGACACAGTGACGGCGCTTGTGAACGATTGCGATCATGAATCATTGAAGCGTCTAAAGAACATCGAACAATATGCGTCCAAGTGTAAGTCATTTAAGTGTATTTCTCTTCGAGTTCGCTATTATCTAGTATTTAATACATCCTCTCTTCTTGCAGATAAACCGGTCTCGAAGCAAATTTGCCAACTGCGCATGAATATCGAGGATTTTGATTTCATCAAATTAATTGGCGCCGGCGCTTTTGGCGAAGTGCAATTGGTGCGGCATAAATCGTCGCGGCAGGTGTACGCCATGAAGCGGCTCTCGAAATTCGAGATGATGAAGCGTCCCGACTCGGCATTCTTCTGGGAGGAGCGCCACATTATGGCACACGCCAACTCCGAGTGGATAGTGCAGCTGCATTTCGCTTTTCAGGATGCCAAATATCTCTACATGGTTATGGACTATATGCCGGGCGGCGATATTGTCTCGCTCATGTCTATGTATGAGATACCGGAGAAGTGGGCTATCTTCTACACCATGGAGGTTGTGCTCGCGCTCGATACAATACACAATATGGGCTTTGTGCATCGTGACGTGAAGCCGGACAATATGCTGCTCGATCGGCATGGTCATTTGAAGTTGGCCGATTTCGGCACATGCATGCGCATGGGTCCGAATGGTTTGGTGGTGTCGAGTAACGCTGTTGGCACGCCTGATTACATTAGTCCTGAGGTATTGCAATCACAGGGTGTCGATAATGAGTATGGACGGGAGTGTGATTGGTGGTCTGTGGGCATTTTTCTGTACGAAATGCTTGTGGGTGATACTCCATTTTATGCGGACTCACTTGTGGGCACCTACGGAAAAATTATGGATCATAAGAATTCGTTGAGCTTTCCCGCTGAGGTGGAGATAAGCGAGCGCGCCAAGTCGCTGATGCGCGCTTTTCTCACCGATCGCACACAACGTTTGGGTCGTCATGGCATTGATGAAATTAAAGCGCATCCATTTTTCGAAAATGACACATGGACCTTTGACAATATACGTGATAGTGTGCCGCCTGTGGTGCCAGAGCTGACCTCGGATGATGATACGCGCAATTTTGAGGATATCGAGCGTGATGAGTCGCCGGAGGAGGTGTTTCCCGTACCGAAAACTTTTGATGGCAATCACTTGCCATTCATCGGCTTCACATACACAGGTGAGTTCGAAATTTATACACTGTAATATCATTCGGCTGTAATTTAAATGCATTTTTTATTGTTCTTTAGGCGATTACCAGCTCCTTACAAACGACACTGTCGACGCTGAGGCCAAGGAGTCGGTGAATGCCATACCAAATCACAGTCACCGCCATCGGCCGTCCAATTCAAATGAAATAAAACGTCTCGAGGCTTTGCTCGAACGTGAACGAAATCATTCCGAGACACTGGAGAAGCAAGACAAGGCATTGCGTCATCAAATCGAATTGATTAGCAAACGTGAAGCCGAATTGCAGCGCATCGCCTCCGAGTATGAAAAGGATTTAGCCTTACGGCAGCACAATTACAAAGTGGCCATGCAAAAAGTCGAGCAGGAGATAGAGCAACGCAAAAAGACTGAGGCACTGCTCGCCGAGACGCAGCGCAATCTCGATAACGAACAGAAAATACGCACGCGCGAAATGAACAATAATCAGCATCACAATGAGAAGATTGTAACGCTGGAGAAGCAGCTAAAAGAAATGGAGGAGAATTTCAAAAACGAAAATGAGCATGTGCAAAAGCTCAAGAAGCAAGTGGCCGAATTGGGCTTAACACTGCAGGAATTGGAGGGCAAATTGGCGCAATCGCAGGCGTTGATTGCCGCATTACAGACGCAGAAAGATGCACTGCAGCAGGAAGTGGCCGAGACGCAAGCACTGCTGGCCCAAGAGAAAAATGCACGCTCGCAACTTAAAGAACTCGTTAAGGAGTCTGAGAATAAAATTCAAACAATGTCCAATGACTTGGAACGTGTAGCAACGCGTGAGCAGCAAGCGCATGAGGATAACCGTGTGTTGACGGAGAAAATTTCTGATTTGGAGAAGGCGAATGCTAGTCTAGACTTTGAGCTCAAAGCGATGCAGAGCCGATATCAGCAGGAGGTAAAGGCGCATCAAGAGACCGAGAAGTCGCGCATGCTCAGCCGTGAAGAGGCGAATCTACAGGAGGTGGGTGTATTAATAAACAACATAATTTTATTGAAAGAGTAATTTTTTTTTCTTTCTTTTTTTGTGTTCAGGTGAAAGCTCTGCAGACCAAGCTGAACGAAGAGAAATCCGCACGCATCAAAGCTGATCAAAATTCCCAAGAAAAGGAACGCCAGTTGAATATGTTGTCAGTGGATTATCGTCAAATGCAGCAGCGCTTGCAAAAACTCGAAGGCGAATGTCGTCAGGAGACGGAGAAAGTAATGGCACTGCAATCGCAAATCGAACAAGAACACAGCAAAAAGAACTCACTACTATCCGAGTTGAGTTTGCAAAGTTCCGAAGTTGCGCACCTCAAGTCGCGTGAAAATCAACTGCAGAAAGAGGTTAGCTCCTTGCGTGAGGCGAAACGTAAATTCGAAGAAGAGATTTCTCAAATCAAAAACACATTGAATAAGGAGATCCTCATGAAACGCGAGTACCAAGATCAATTAGAAGCCGAACAGTATTTCTCACGCCTCTACAAGACGCAAGCGAACGAACATCGCGAAGAGATCTCAGAGCGTTGTCGTGAAATACAAGATCTAAAGGAGGAACGCACATCACTGAAACACCAAGTGCAAGTGGCAGTTGCGCGTGCTGACTCCGAAGCGCTGGCGCGTTCCATTGCCGAAGAGACCGTCGCTGACTTGGAGAAAGAAAAGACAATTAAAGAGTTCGAGTTGAAGGACTACATGACGAAATATCGCAATGAAGTCACTGCCAAGGAAGCGATACAAAGCGCAGCTAAAGAAACAGAATCTGAATTTGTTAAGAAACTGAATCAAAAGAATGCCGAAAACGAAGAACTTTTGCAGCAGCAAAAGAAATTGCAAGATGAATTGAAACAACTGCGCGATAGCAGCGCTGAGGAGCTTTCAAAGTTGAAGGACAAACTGCAAACGGAAATGTTGTTGAAGCAGGTTGCTGTAAACAAACTGACCGAGGTGATGAATCGCCGAGATACGGATCTGCAAAGTGAGTCGGTTGCCTGGAAAAAAGAAGAATTTAAAAACAACAGCAAATTATATAAAATAATTTTCGATGTTAATATGCATTTTTTTTTGCTTTTTCTCTTACAGAACAAAAAGGCAAAGCGCGCTCTTCCGCCGAGTTGCGTAAGAAGGAGAAAGAAATGCGTCGCCTACAACAAGAACTCTCACAAGAGCGCGAAAAATACAATCAGCTGTCGCTCAAACTGCAAGATGTACAAAGTCAAATCATCGAAGACAGTCATGTGAGTGAACGCAACGTTAATGAAATATTATTTAATTTCGTTGTTATTATTTTTCGTAATAAAAAACGAATTTTTCTTTTTAGATCAAACAAAAGCTGCAAATGGAAATCGACTGTAAGGCCACAGAAATCGAACAGCTGCAGTCCAAACTCAATGAAACCGCCTCTCTATCATCAGCCGACAATGATCCCGAAGACACGCAAGTGGCTGTGAGTTTAAAATTATATTTTCGAATATTATTCCATAACTAATGCTTTAATTACTATCTCCCTAGGACTCGGTATTCGAGGGCTGGTTAAGTGTGCCAAATAAACAAAATATACGCCGTCATGGCTGGAAGCGTCAATATGTGATTGTGTCATCGCGCCGAATTATTTTTTACAATACCGAAATCGACAAACAGAATACAATTGATCCTGTGCTTATATTAGATTTAAGGTAACTTCCTCACATGGAATATGTGAAAGTACATAATAACAGTGAATTTTTTAATCTCTGAATTACAGCAAAGTATTCCATGTGCGTTCAGTAACGCAAGGTGATGTGATACGCGCCGATGCCAAAGAAATACCACGCATTTTCCAACTCTTATATGCCGGTGAGGGTGAAGCGCGAAGACCGGACGAACAAAATCAACTCGATATTAGTCAGTTGTTGACGGACGAACGGCCGAGCACGATTATGTACAAAGGTGAGTTTATTGTAAGAGTTTACAAATATTTTTCTATGTAAATTTATTATTTTCATCCTTTTTAGGCCACGAGTTCGTGCATATAACGTATCATATGCCAACTGCCTGCGAAGTCTGTACAAAACCATTATGGCACATGTTCAAACCGCCAGCGGCGTATGAATGTAAACGGTAGGTGGATGAGTTTTAAGTGCGCCAAAATGTAGGCAACAGATTTTTCATTTATTTGTAACATACTTTAATGATAGTTAAAAACAACGACACATTCTTAGTTCAAAAGAGAGTTAACCGTTTTTAAAATGTATTGAAAGCATAGTGGCCAATACTGGAGAAATAATACGCGGTAAAGCGTATGGAAAATAAGCAAAGATCGGCTAACATATTTGTTAGTAGCACTATTAGAACAACGCCGACTCAGACACTACAGTATTATACCACATTTGCTGCCCATATATTTGTACTGCAAGCAACTGTCTGTGAAGTCGGCATTCAGGCTGAGAGAATCTTTCCTATTAATTACCTGTTATAAGGGATAGATAGATATAGATTGTCCTGCAAGTTTCATTTTCTTCCCATGCCACCGATTTTTGCAATCCTTTATAATCGCCTTTCGCTAGATCATTGTAGTGTTTTCCAGGCAGAGATTGCTGCCATTCACAGATAACCTAGCGGTTCTAAAATCATAGATAGTGAAAGATCTGCTGGTAGGGCCCGCATCGTACTAAACGATAAATCTGCAATGAGTTCCAGGAGATAAGGACATGCGGCTGGAAACAATCACTATCAATAAGCAAACAAACGTGGTCAGGATTGAATGTGGGTCGCACCGATAAGAGTGCTGTCTCATTGATAGACACGCCGGTAGACTAGGGGTACCATACAACGACTACTGCAGAAGTTGCTAGGAGATGAAAAAGAAGAGACGCCAGAAAATCTTGTATATTTTACACCCATATACATTGTACAGGAAAAGGCTTGCAGTTATAGGGTGAATCAGAGACATGCTAGATTAAGGGACCCAGTGGTACTACTATGGTCCTCCTAAGTCCTAGGTACGCCGCAAGGCATCTCTCTACCTATCTACCAAAAAATAATCCAAGGTTATTAAACATCTGAAAGCGAAAACTGCTCCAACTCTTTTTCGACAGATCGATCGTCTTAATTTTGAAATGGCTTTGGAAAGAGCGAACTATTTCTCTTAGTTTTCTTTTTTCAATTTTGGTAGTTGAGTACGGTAGACTTTCGAATTAATATTTTAGTTGCTTGAACATAGCCCAAAGTAGACCCATCACAAGTGAGTGAGAAAAAACTTCAACATCTCTAAGGATTTGTTTTAGAAATGTTTCGGTTTTTGCCTTTAATTCGGGAGAAATTCAAACTCACAGTTTTTTTTAGTTACCAAGCTCTATAGATCGGCGTGAGATTCTTAAAAAGCACAGAAAAAAAACATTTTAATTAAAAAAAGAAAGAATGCATCCTTTTTTTTACCCATAAATTGGAATTCTTCAGAAAAATTGTAATTTCATACATTACTACTCTCCTCAATAGTTGCCGCAATAAAATCCACAAGGAGCATGTTGACAATAATGATTTATTGGTGCCGTGTAAACTGCATCATGATCCACATACTGCCAAAGAAATGTTGCTGCTGGCCGGCACACCCGACGAGCAGCATGTGTGGGTGACACGACTCTCTAAGCGCATACAAAAGTTTGGCTACAAAGCCAATTCTTCATCAAACAATAATAGTAGCGGCGGTGATGGCAGTAAAATATCGCCAAGGTGAGTTATTTATTTTTATAAAGAAAAAAAGTTAGAAATAAAATTATATATACTATATTAATATAACTATTTGTTTAATTATATTTTTCTAATTATTATATTTATTGCTTTTGGTTAAATAACTTTTTATATTAATGTAACAGCTGTCATATTTGTAAAATTTTTATAACTTGCATTTGCATACATACTTAACATAACTTTAAATATGTGCTTATATGCATACATACATATATCATTTAATTGTTAATAATTCCAAAAACTCATAATATATTTTTCCATTTCTCTTTTTTTACCTTTTTATTTATTTTATCTCTCTCGCTCTCTGTGTTTTTGTGCGTGTGCGTGTGCGTGTTGCTTAACATCTCACCATATGCGTTTTATATTGGCAAAATCAATTGGTAATTCCAAAACGCTGCAAATGCAAATGTGTTTTTATGCAACCAAACCTGCAAATCGCATTTCCTAAATCCAAAAAACAACAACAACAACAACAAATTAAATGCTATGACAAATCATACCTGCTATATATTTATCAACAATGAAATCGTGTAATATATAAATATATATATATTGTATATATATATGTATAATCATCATGAATACCATCAACCAACAAACACCACCATCATAATTATGCTATATTTTACCATCATACCACCACCACCTACATGCTACATACGTACATATGCTATTTGCGCGTGCTCATCTCTGACCTTTATGCATTTCATTGTACCGCTTGTACACTTTGCCCACCGCACGACAATGCAGTCAATCAACGCGTTCTGCTTACAAGCCATACGCAGTTAACGTACAAAGATCTGCGACGCTGCCTGCTAATACGTCACTCAAGCAGTGAAACTGGTAGAATGAAAAGTGAAAATACAAAAATACTAAAATACAAAAAAAAAAAGCAAGAATATTATAGAAAACAATATGTGCATAAGAAGTAAGAAGATTAAATAACTGGTAGGGCAATCATTTTTCTCTCTTTGGGGAAATAAAAAATAATAAAAAAATTAAATATTAAAAACCAAACAGTAAAGTTAAAATGTAAAATAACATCTCATTTTTATACATATATATAAAATATTTGCTGCATATCTAAATACATACATATTTATAACATAAACATATATACTCTTGTACTCTTGTATATTAGTAGTTATCACTAGTTCAAAATAGACACACATACATATAACCATGCAGATAAATGCGTATAAACTGTTACATACCATTCTTGAGCTTGTACATACATACTCTCAAAGTTATAGTATACTGTATATAATATATATATTTACAAAAACAAAGAAAGCATGAAGTTGTAGTGAAGAAGCAGCAGAAACTATTTTACTTTGCTGGTAAATGTAATATGAACTAACTATCCATATCAAATACAATACATACCTACGTGTATGTATGCATGTTTGTTAAAGCTAATAATGTTGAGATAGGATTAAGAAGAAGAAGAAAAAGAAACGTATAATAAATAAAAAGTATAGTTTAAAACGCCTTAACCTCCTTACTCTACTCACACTCGAACGCCAATAATTTACAATTATGTAGGAGATAGTACAATACTTCCTGTATGCTAATGCTGAACGAAAAGTAAAAACAAAAATAAAAAACTTAAAGTTTTTTTCTTTTTTACATATTTACATATATTCTCTTTAATATATGTGTGTAATAAGTACGTATGTCATGCACTAAGCAATTCGATTTTGTAACTAAAAACAAAAACAAAAACATATTACCTTTATATGAAAAATAATATAACATCGTATATAAAAGAAATAAATATTATTAAGGAATTCGAAATTTATTAAGGAAAAAAATTATATATAACACCAACAGATCATTGCCAAATTTATGAAAACTCAAATATAAATTTTGAATTTAGAAATTTTACTTTATTGAAAAACAAATGGTAAACTATTAAGCGCCAAATGCGTAGTCAATTAATATGAACGGCTTTGATTTCCCATAAACTAAACTTTTTGCAGCTGGTTTCTTGTTCCTAATTTCAGTGACAGACCGTTTCCTTTATTTAACTTCTATTTCTTGAAAATTGTTGTATATGCAGAGTGATGTTGAAATTAATTGTCAACTGAATTTGAAACTCAAAAACTTAAAAGTTGACACAAAAGATTGCTCTATAGCTGATCAGGCACTTTTGCGCTCAATATGCTTGTAAAATTAAGGAAGAAATCTTAATGGCTGCTAAATAAAAAATAATTTTAATGTTTTTCTGAAAAGTGTATACCAATATATTTTCCAATACAAAAAACAAAAATTTCATCTTTTGTTATATAACGCATTAAAAATAATTTATTTAGAAACAAACTTTCGCTTAAAAGTTAAACTGCATTTTTCTTAAGTTCGCGTAAGATTTTAACAACGTTGGCATCTCACTCCCTTTAACTTCCTCATATCAAACTAATAAAACTTCAATAAATTCCATAAGCATTTAAGCATACCAATTGCATACACTTACAAATGTCTACTTCATACTTTAAACAATTAAAGAGCTACGTATACGAAACTAATATTTTTCTCATTAATAAAATAAATATGTTTATCACTTAGCAGACAACTAACACTTAAAAAAACGCAGTTTTCTGTTGAAGAAAATTTGCTGGGAATTCCATATTAATGTTAAATACTAATTATTGACTAAATTCATATAAAAATAAGTATTAAATAAGCAAATGGATAGACGTTTACATATATAAGTTGTTAAGCTTTTAGTTATAATCTGTAAATTATTTTAACTAAGATTTTTTTTGTATACACATACATACATATAGTTAAGCTTCCGAAAGTGTATTAACAAAATTTAATGTAATTAAGGCGCAAAAAGTCAAAAAAAGAGTATGAAGAAACAGTAAATATGAAAGAAAGAAAAACAAAAATAATAAAAAAATAAAAACAAAGAGAAAAATAAAAGTTTAAATTACAAACGAAAAAAAAAAATAAAAGTTAAAATACTTTAAGTAAGCGGTGGTAAACTGAAGCTCGAAATTGCGACAAATATTTTTATACTAAACTTTTCCACAAAAGCAATATTGATGCAAAAGACGAAAGCATTCAAAAACTCACTTATTCCAATAATTAATAATAACACATATGTACATATGTATGTACATTAATACAAGATTTTGTTGTAAAATGAAGCAGCTAACAAAAACTATGACTGACTAACAAGCCTTGCAGCTTTCGAAAATACTATAATGGCCTACAGCAATTTATTAGTGTATCGAAAAATTGTAAACAAAAATAATAAGCGTAAAAAATATATTTTTTGTTAAAAAAAATATATAAGTTTTGCAACACTATTTTTAATTTTTGACAAAACATGTTTTGCTGCAAGAATAATTTTTTCATTTTATTTATAATTATTTTTTTTTTACAAGAAGTTGCACAGAAACGGCGCCTGCATTATTGCGTTGTTTGTCTTATGTAATTATTTTTTAATTATTATTATTTTTTTTGTTCTACTATACGAATTATTTTTATTTATGTAATATATTTTGCGAAATTCCCCTACAAAAAATTACTTACACATTTTTTATGTTTATTATATTCCATACAAATTCGTGCGTACGCATATACATATTAATTATTTCAGTTATTATTTAGTGCAAAAAAAAACGTAATGAAAAAGAATAAAAAATACAGTATAAAAAATTTTAAATGTTTAGTTTTATTTTTCAGTTATACAAACATATATTTTTCTAATTTTTTTTTTAGTATATTTACATCATTTTCTTGCAGTAAAAACCCATCAATGGTTATATGCAAGTTGAGGTTATTGGTGGCAAAAGAGACTTTAAGAATTTTAAAACTACTCATAATGACGAAAATTAATTTAAAGAAAAATATCCAATTTTCATACAATTTACTTCTTCGATGCGGTGTTTAATAGATTTATAAGCTCATAAAATCTCTACTCGCTTTTGTCAGAAATCATTAAAAATAATTTTCTTTTTCGATCTTGTATTTCATTTATATTTCATATTCTTAAATTTATTTATATATAAAATAATGTAATTAAAACCACTTTCATGCAATACATTGTGAATAATCTCAACGCTTGTAAATATATATATATATATATACCATTGGGGCTTAACCTCGTACGCTTTTTTCCTAAAGTAAAATGTTAAATAAATTTGACTACTTTTCTACAATAAATCTCATTTATATTTCTTTTTTTTTACACAAATTTTAATTTTAAAGCCGACTGAAATGGCAACCGTCAATAACGTCACAACAATCACTGCAACAACAAACACAACACCGACACTCGTCGCCGCCGACGCCACCACCCAAACCGTTGTCGCTGCAACGGCAAAAATCGCAACCAACAACAATATTTTACAATAAATAAATGGATGGAAATTAAATTAAATATAAAAAAAAAACATAAAATGATAATATAAAATAAAAATAAATGGAAAAAAATGAAATAAAAAAAATAAAATGAAATATAAATCTAAAATATGAATAAAAAAACAATAAAATAAATTTAAAAAAAAAATAAAATATAATATTAATTGAAAAAATAATAAAATATAACACGAGATGCAAAATAAATAAAACGTAAAAAAATAAAATTCAATTAAAAATAAAATAAAATCAAAACAAATAAAAAAAACCAAAATAAAATAATAATAATTAAACTACAATATAAAAAAATAAATTAAAAATAAAATTAAATAAAATATAAAATTAAATACAAAACAAAATAAAATAAATTAAAATAAAAAATAAAAAAAAATAATAAAATATAAAATTAAATGAAAAATAAATAAAACATAAATAAATAAAACACAATATAAAAAATAAAATTAAAAAAAATGAAAAAATAAATATTGTATATGAAATAAACATTATGAATTATGAAAAACGAATGTGTGAATACAAACAATCATTAATTATGAAATTCGACGTTGATGTTTTAGTTTCAATTTAGCGGAACAGCAGCAACAACAACTAATAAGACTATCCAATCGCCTGCGCAACAGTTTTATAAAACGTTTTCGTTTAGCCACGCGCTCCGATTAATTTAATTTAAAATACGATTTTTATAAAAATGAATTAATTACAAGAGAAAAGTCACAATTTTAAGTATAAAAATATATATGTAATGCTTAAAAAATGTAATATTTAACGATTCTTGCGCACATTGTATGCATTCTTTGTACATCTAAATATTTAATTATTTAGGTGATATTTTTCTAGGTTGTTACTTATATAAATATATATTTTTTTAGCTAATATGCGTAATTGCTTAAGGTTTTGTACTTAAAAAATATCACATTTGGATATACATACATAAGTATTTTGTCACAAAATTTTATATTGTTGAATTGAATTTAAAAATTTTGTTCTTATACTTTTTTTTTTGAAGAAATTTAGATATTTTCGGCGCTAGAAAAATTACTTTTAAGCATATTATACGTACATAAGTATGTAGTGAATACGTATTGAACTCAATCTAATAAAAAAGTAGATCTTACTTACAAAAAGTGGCGTGGAAATATAAAACAATCAAAAAAAAAAAAAGTAATCAAAAAGTCATAAAACTGTAGTATTGAATTTAAATCATAAACAAACATGTGGAGTATATGAGTAATAAATAATTGTTTGTATTAATTGAATATAAAAATATAATTGAAAAAAAAAAAAAACAGAACATAACATTCCTAAATATTCTATAAGCAATATGTGAGCTGCATTTATAATCAAAACGCGTTTAGCGTGCGACGTAAAACACAATCAAACTAAAAAATTTATATTAAGCAATAAACACAATATGAAGAGCAACAAAAACAATCAAATTGTGAAAAAACTAAAATGAAAGAATTGCCTTGCAAAAAATGCAGACTTCGAATTATTGAAACTAAATTG